AGATTGCACGAGTCACACATGGCGTCTCTGGTGCTGCTGGAAGCGGAGGCAGGCGATGCACATGAGATCACAAAGCGAGCCAGCCAGCAAAGCTAGCGGCCTTCGTCGGCACCGCGACCGCCTCGTAGAAAAGCCAAGGCCGAGTTCATGGCGTCGCTTTCCCATCCCGCGGCTCTGCAAATTGACAAGATCTCTCTCTCTCTCTCTCTCTCTCATCGTTGAGGTCCTCCAACATGATATATCCTTTAAGTCATTTCTGTGGTCCTTCTTGCTTGCTTTGGAAGTAGTGGTCGCTCGATCGATCCGTTAGGCCATCACTTGAGAGTTAGGAATGTGAGCTGATCAAGTGATACAACTATAATGTGAGCACACGTGGATATCTCCAGGATCTCGTGTTCGCCAGCTCCGCCGCCACTCGCATGCGTGACGCCACGTTGCCCCGGTGTTGCCATCGTACGACGACGTCATCGCGTCCAAGTAACATCCAATGATAACCATGGTTATAAATCTTCCAAATCCTTGATTATTCATGTTAATTTTTCAACACTAAAACATGGAGCGAGAGTTTTTGTTGGGTGCACCACGAATCAGTCTTTGCGCAACTATATCCATCCTAACACCGGATTCACAGTAATACTTTGACAAAAACCAGGGGAATCCCCGGAGCCTTGGACATTAGGATTTCTGCTTGGTTCACAGGCATGCATGCTCCGTTGTAGTGGGCAAGTCTCTAAAAGACCAAACTAGCTAGCTTCTTCCCTGATGGCCTGGTCTGACAAAACTGAAGTCATCATCTTCCTCTTCTTCATGGACTGCTCTAGCATCGAGCTTGTCTAAAAGTTCTCATCCACTTCATGATTTATCATACTAACAGTCTAGTTGCTAAGGATACAGATTAACTGTTCCTCGTGAAACTGGCAGACCCGGAAAGCCTAGCAAGTGACTAAAGTAAACCGATTTGAGGTGGTCCTATGTTACTTCTAACACACTATTTCATTGATTAGAGGATATAAACTTCTTACATACAAGTGTATGGGAGCTTTTTATATATAGCTTACTGTAGTTTTTTTTAATGAATACTCTGATGCTATCTATTGGAACCTTGAAAAAGTGCTTACTCTCTGTGTCCTCCTAACACTATCATTGTATTTCAAAACAACCAAGTTTTAATTATCTTCTAATCTACTGTGGGTCAAATGACACAGCTGTGTATCACTGATAATGCTTAATTCAGCAAAGCAAATTTGCATAATACTCCAACAAAAACACACAGGAAAAGGGCTATCAACCAATGATTCATGGTGGGAAGCAACCATAACCTACTTTATTTGAATATATAAGTAGGTGCCTGTTCCAAGTCTTAACATTTCTCAACACACACATTGGTATATCCACACAAGTTAATTGAGAGCAAGCAATGCAGAAAGCCAAGTATTATCACATAATCGCATGATCTGAAGTCTAGTTA